TATCAGTGAGAGGAATAGTGCCCCATTGTTGGTGTCAGTGGGAGGAACAGTGCCCCTTCATGTGTATGAAAAAGTTTTCCGGATAAATGCAAGAAAAGGGCCACATCTGGCCCCTGGGCTGCAGTTTGTAGACCTCTGGTCTAGGTAATTTGTTAGGAGTTCTAATGGGTGTCCAGTATGAAAACATAAAGGTGGAGAATGGGGGCTGGACTCATTACAACCAATCAGACTGTAGATGGTATTTTTATGAGTATGCTATTGTATGGAAACCAACACCAGATTTGTTGCTATGTGTGATAATTTAACTTACTGCCCCGTCTTCCCATGTTTTTATATAGCCATATAGCTTTACATGACATGTTTACGTTATGCACACAATTTAATCATTTTTTTCTGATTGGTAGAAATAATCAATCTATAGACCAAAATCCATTAACTCAATATACTGCACACAGAGAACTGGATTTCAATCAATAGGATATGATTAGAACTTATGATTATAAATTAGGTTATAGAAATATACAGCCTTTTCAAACAAAATGAAACAATTCAGTTAATCACATATTTTATTTTTGCATTTACTTTCCATGCTTCCCCAGAACTGCAGATAACAACCAGTGTGTTGCTATGGCCTTCCACAGTTTGCAGAACCCTGTTGCTGCTTGCACTGTTTTAATAAATAGGCCTAATTGCCTTTGTTTCATAGCACAGTCTGCAGATCTATGTTTTTTTTTTGTTTTATTTGAACATGTGCAGAAAAAGCTCGTCAGAGTACAAAGAAAGGTTTCTTCCATGGATGTCTTTCTCATTGAGGCAAAATGTCACATTACTTTACAGCGAAGGCAAGATGGGAGCCAAAACAGCCTGCAGGTCTGCCCTTGGGGATTGGGACTTTTTCCTCTGTAGCTCAGCTTCAGGAAACTTCAACATTTGTGTGCTCAAGACCGCATACCATTGGAAAGGAAGTTAGGGTGGAGATGCATGCCTAGATTAAGTGAATATGAAAATCACTGTACTAGCTGTGGGCTAAGAACTGCAGAGATTTATGATGTAAATTTCATAACTCTTTTTCAGCCTTGCATACATTTTTCTCTCTTATTCTTTTCGGTGTCCCGCCCTTTCTTTCTTTTTTTTTTCTCTTTACCTCAGACGACCAGCTGTACATTGTTTTTTTTTACACTCTCTACAGGTACTTGAAAATGTTATTTCTTCGTTTTGAGTTGGTTGTGTTGTGTGAGTCACTAATTCTCAGCATTTTTTAGTAAACTATTTATGGATGAAATGTCTGATAGGGAATTGCCTTTGTATATACCCTGGGAGTTTTTATTTACTTTAATCTCCATGTGGGTCAATTTTTTTATGCGTGCTTTTCACTTACTGGATGGTGGAATGTGGGTTTTCGGGCTTACCCTGAAGTCTAGGGGGCTCTTAGGTTCCTTTTTCCCCTGCCTAGGGGTCTCTCTAAAACTGGGTACACGCAGATTGAACTGGCTGTCTGTGTTTAGTCCTCCCTATTTGACAGAAGCCAGTCATTAGATTGTCTCCTGTTCAGCGGACCTGCTGGAAACTTTTCACTTGATCAGCAGCTGCAGCTACTTGGTTGCAGTGCTGATCAGTGTATTCTGACAGGGAGTCCCCACTGTGAGATTACAGTGTCCTAAACTTTTAGGTTACCGCTCTTGTGTGGATGCAGGGATTCACTTATTTTTTTTAATTCAGCCCACAGACTGAACAAAAAAAAAATCATCTCTATCTAGCTTAAATCAGAACCCTTAACTTAGTACTCAGTGGTCAGCTTTGGCTAGCCACGAGCAGAGGCATCTGCCATTTCTTTTGGCTAGGTAGACCAGAGTGCCTTGCTGCCATTAGAAAAGTGATTTGTTCATAGCAGACATAACTTTTGTTTCATTTTTTGCCCTGTACTAGAAAAATGACAGCTTGAATCTGATTGGTTGCCATGACCTTAGATGGTCATACACTTATAAATTATTCTATCTGAGACTTCTTCTTCATGGTAGTGTTCTGATCTGCAACAGACTGTCCATCTTTGTGTGATGTGCATTCCTAGCAGATATGGATGGTGGCAACTGCCCATAGCAGAGGACAACATAAGTACAACGTGGATGAAACAGCGATAAGCACCTCTGAGGGTGATGACGGGCTACATAAGAATAGTAGAATGGCATGAGTGTCCATTTGATATCAAAGGAACAACTGGATCATGTTCACAATCAGGCTGCAGGTAGAGATTGTAATAGGAAAACCGTAGCCATAGGTCTGTAAGAATGGTAAAAGCCTGGGTCAGCAACAGATGGCAAGTGCAGAATCAGCATGGAGAAATATAATCAGAGAGTCAGGAGAGAAAAGGTAATGAGAACACAGATGTACAAGGTGAGTTCACATGTGAAGAATCCGAAGCAGGTCACAGAGCAATCTGGGCCAGTAATCAGAGCACAGAGAGTTTAAGCAACAGGTTATGTCACAGGATGCAGCTGAAGACCACTCAGCGTTGATTCCAGGCAATGCTAAACCTAAACTAGGTTGTTTGCTGCCAACACCAGTGCTAGACGCACACACAGTATGTGTTGTGAAGTATACAAATACACATCTGGAAGTCACCCTATATGAAGGCACAAGCATCTATTTGTATACACTTGCAAATGTACATGCTGGCTAGAAAAAAGGGGAAAACTGCATGTTAGGATTCTCTGAAAATGTACCCATAATAATATATCAAATAGAATAAATGATGAACAATCTTGAGAAGCAATCTAGAAAGTAACTTGCTGTAAAACTGAAATTTCCCAACATATATCCCCCTAGAGAGCCCAGTTTTTGTGGAACATAAAATGACTCATCTCTGACCCTGTACAAGTTTGTCTTCCAAATATGATGCACCTGTTATGGCAGTTACACTGTCAATTTGTTTTTTGTTATGGGAATCTGCAGTCTTTGGGATATGTAATAATGTTCTATGTATAATTTGTGTGTGTATATATATATATACAGTATATAGCCATGTTTGCTTGTCACAAATCCAGGGTCTACTCTCAAGAGAAACAGCATAATTGTACTAAAGCTGGCCATAGGTACAATCATTCAGATTCCTCCATCCACACAGGAATTCCCTTCTCTGGGAAATTGTATTGTGACAGTGACACCCACAGCTTTATCAGAATACACTGATCGATAGAAAAATTTCCAGTTTTCCATGTCCCTTTAACACCTGTTGATTAGCGGAGCCCACACACTGATTGATATTTGGCCAGTACCTACTGGATCAGATACATTTCAATCAGTGTATGGCCAGCTTAAAGTGGTTGTAAACCTTTGACATGAAATATGAACAAAGCGTATCCCTCTATAGTGTGTACTTCTCTCATTCCGGAGGAGTAAGTGTCCTTTCTGTCCCCTGCCTCATTCCTCTGCTATCAGCATGAATCACTTCTGACAAGTTTTCCTGACACCAAGAGAAAAATGGTGACAGGGGAGGGCACAGCCTGTGATTAACAGCTTCAGCTCTGTTCCTGTGTGCTGTGTAAAGGGGGGGGGGTGTCCCTTCCCTCCAATCAGCTATCAGAGCTCACACAACTGATGTAACTTCAGCTCCCCGCCCCCTGGTTTTCAGAGCTGAGAGATTCTGTATAAATTCTGTACTTTGAGTGGCTGTAAGGGAAAGATGGCTATAGATAAACAGATACAAGTTATGATATGTTATGTTATGGGATTTGTTTCATCTCTGTGTATCAGCTGAAGCCAGTCACTTTACTGGGTATATGTAAGGGTGTACAGCCACTTTAAGCTATTAAGAACTTTATCTAGTCACTAGTCTTCAAATCTCTATAGCTTAACTCTAACAACCCCCAACCCCTTTTGGTACTCCTGCCCCCCCTTTTCAATAATTTGACCTTGGCATGCAATGTGACTGCTCCCTCTCATCCTGAATGTCCTCCGGAGGTGCTTTCTGTAGAATTTTATTGAGTCCACAAGCCAGTTTATATGCCCCCCAGAGCTCACATGGAGTAGGTTGAATCAGCCCAAAGCAGCAGCACCACCTAGTGGCCAAGAGGACTTAGGGCTGGTTAGGAGGTGATTTTTGGTTGCTTCAAACAGGTGTTGCGTTCCTATACAAATCTATGAAAATCAAAACCCACTTGAAGCAGGTCAAAATGAAGATCAGAAGGTCACCTGAAGACCAAATGCACCTGTCAGTGAATTTTGAATAATCTTAGAAGAGTCTCAAACTGATGTCATGGACAAAAGTCAAAAGATCATGAACACAGTACCAGAGACAGGGTGAGTATTTCAGATATACTATATATGCATTTTATTGCCAAACGTATTGGGACGCCTGCCTTTACACGTACATGAACTTTAATGGCATCCCAGTCTTAGTCCGTAGGGTTCAATATTGAGTTGGCCCGCCCTTTGCAGCTATAACAGCTTCAACTTTTCGTGGAAGGCAGTCCACAAGGTTTAGGAGTGTGTCTATGGGAATGTTTGACCATTCTTCCTGAAGCGCATTTGTGAGGTCAGGCACTGATGTCAGACAAGAAGGCCTGATTCGCAGTCTCCGCTCTAATTCATCCCAAAGGTGTTCTATCAGGTTGAGGTCAGGACTCTGTGCAGGCCAGTCAAGTTCCTCCACCCCAAACTCACTCATCCATGTCTTTATGGGCCTTGCTTTGTGCACTGGTGCGCAGTCATGTTGGAACAGGAAGGGGCTATCCCCAAACGATTCCCACAAAGTTGAGAGCATGAAATTGTCCAAAATGTCTTGGTATGCTGATGCCTTAAGAATTCCCTTCACTGGCACTAAGGGGCAGCAACCCCTGAAAAACAACCCCACACCATAATCCCCCCTCCACCAAACTTTACACTTGGCACAATGCAGTAAGGCAAGTACCATTCTCCTGGCAACCGCCATACCCAGACACGTCCATCAGACTGCCAGACAGAGAAGCGTGATTCATCACTCCAGAGAACACGTCTCCACTGCTCTAGAGTCCAGTGGCGGTGTGCTTTACACCACTGCATCTGACGCTTGCATTGCACTTGGTGATGTAAGGCTTGGATGCAGCTGCTTGTCCATGGAAACCCATTCCATGAAGCTCTCTGTGCACTGTTGTTGTGCTAATCTGAAGGCCACACGAAGTTGGGAGGTCTTTAGCTATTGTCTCTGCAGACAGTTGGCGACTTCTGCACACTGCGTTTCAGCTTGCACTGACCCCGCTCTGTCATTTTATGTGGCCTACCACTTGGTGGCTGAGTTGCTGTTGTTTCCAGCTGCTTCCACTTTGTTATAATACCACTAACAGTTGACATATTTAGTAACAAGGAAATTTCACGGATGCACTTATTGCACAGGTGGCAACCTATCACGTTATCACGCTTGAATTCACTGAGCTTCTGAGAGGGACCTATTCTCTCACAAATGTTTGTAGAAGCAGCCTGCATGCCTGGGTGCTTGATTTTATACACCTGTGGCCATGAAGGTGATTGGAACACCTGAATCCAATGATTTGGAGGGGTTCCCCAATACTTATATATATATATATATTTTTTTTTAATTCTGGGGAGTCCTTTTATATTTATTAAACAAGCAGACATTGGTTGTAGTGCAAGGTCCGCATTAAGAAGATCTGAATATTTTGAAAAAGATAAGATACAGTTGGTGGTACTTGATAAAGCGAAATATTTTTTAGTATATATTAATTATTTGCATCAACATTTTATGCAGAATAGAAGTGACTGTATAACTCTGAAATGTATCTTCTACCCCATTTCTTAATATCTGTTACTTAAATATGGGCAGCACAGTGGCTAAATGATTAGCACTTCCGCCTGGCAGTACTAGGGTTGTTGGTTCGAATCCCAGCCACAGCACCACCTGCCTGGAGTTTGCATGTTCTCCCTGTGCCTGCGTGGGTTTCCTCTGGGTGCTCCGGTTTCCTCCCACACTCCAAAGACATTCTGGTAGGTGAATTGGATCCTGTCTAAATTGGCCCTAGTATGTGTATGTATGAATGTGAGTTAGGAACCTTAGATTGTATGCCCCTTGAGGGTTAGGGACTGATGTGAATGTACAGTATACAGTGGGGCAAAAAAGTATTTAGTCAGCCACCAATTGTGCAAGTTCTCCCACTTAAAAAGATGAGAGAGGCCTGTAATTGGCATCATAGGTAGACCTCAACTATGAGAGACAAAATGAAAAAAAAAAATCCAGACAATCACATTGGCTGATTTGGAAAGAATTTATTTGCAAATTATGGTGGAAAATAAGTATTTGGTCACCTACAAACAGGCAAGATTTCTGGCTCTCACAGACCCGTACCTTCTTCTTTAAGAGGCTCTCTGTCCTGCACTCATTACCTGTATCAATGGCACCTGTTTGAGGTTGTGGATAGGTGTCTTTTATACTGATAACAAGTTCAAACAGTCACACTCCAAACTCCACTATGGTGAAGACCAAAGAGCTGTCGAAGGACACCAGAAACAAAATTGTAGACCTGCACCAGGCTGGGAAGACTGAATCTGCAATAGGCAAGCAGCTTGGTGTGAACAAATCAACCGTGGGAGCAATAATTAGAAAATGGAAGACATACAAGACCACTGATAATCTCCCTCGATCTGGGGCTCCACGCAAAATCTCACCCCGTGGGGTCAAAATGATCACAAGAACGGTGAGCAAAAATCTCAGGACCACACGGGGGGACCTAGTGAATGACCTGCAGAGAGCTGGGACCAACGTAACAAAGGCTACCATCAATAACACACTACGCCGCCAGGGACTCAGGTCCTGCAGTGCCAGACGTGTCCCCCTGCTTAAGCCAGTACATGTCCGTTCCCGTCTGAAGTTTGCTAGAGAGCATTTGGATGATCCAGAAGAGGACTGGGAGAATGTCATATGGTCAGATGAAACCAAAATAGAACTGTTTGATAGAAACACAACTCGTCGTGTTTGGAGGAGAGAGAATGCTGAGTTGCATCCAAAGAACACCATACCTACTGTGAAGCATGGGGGTGGCAGCATCATGCTTTGGGGCTGTTTCTCCGCAAAGGGACCAGGACGATTGATCCATGTAAAAGACAGAATGAATGGGGCCATGTATCGTGAGATTTTGAGTGCAAACCTCCTTCCATCAGCAAGGGCATTGAAGATGAAACGTGGCTGGGTCTTCCAACATGACAATGATCCCAAACATACCGCCCGGGCAACGAAGGAGTGGCTTCGTAAGAATCATTTCAAGGTCCTGGAGTGGCCTAGCCAGCCTCCAGATCTCAACCCCATAGAAAACCTTTGGAGGGAGTTGAAAGTCCGTGTTGCCCAGCAACAGCCCCAAAACATCACTGTTCTAGAGGAGATCTGCATGGAGGAATGGGCAAACATACCAGCAACAGTGTGTGCCAACCTTGTGAAGACTTACAGGAAACGTTTGACCTCTGTCATTGCCAACAAAGGATATATAACAAAGTATTGAGATGAACTTTTGATATTGACCAAATACTTATTTTCCACCATAGTTTGCAAATAAATTCTTTCCAAATCAGCCAATGTGATTGTCTGGATTTTTTTTCTCATTTTGTCTCTCATAGTTGAGGTCTACCTATGATGCCAATTACAGGCCTCTCTCATCTTTTTAAGTGGGAGAACTTGCACAATTGGTGGCTGACTAAATACTTTTTTGCCCCACTCTATATGTAAAGCGCTGCACAAATTGACGGCGCTATATAAGTACCTGTAATAAATAAATAAATAAATAAAACAGATTTATGCGAGAAATACATTTGCCTTTGTTAGCAAGTACCTGAGCTCTGGAAGTTCTGACCACAGAAGGCAAGCAGAGGGCAAAGAACTAGTCACCAGTGTTGTTGGTAGGGTCACTGCAGCTGATCTTTCTCCTATTACTGACTTTCTTCTTGTTTTGCTCTGTGTTTGCTCTTGGTTGTTGAATAGAGATTTGTATCCTCAAGTTCAGATTCCTTTGAAATCTCATTTCACGAGCAATCAGTCAGGAGTGTTTAGATGAACTCAAACTGCAGATAAACAGTTATAAGGCTGTAAGCACAGCAGTGCCTAGGCACCTTCGCATACCAGGAAGTGCACAGCTTCTTTTAGGAGGAATTCAAAACAAAATGTATATTTACAGGTTATTGCTTAGGAACAACTAACATTTTTAGATGTTCCCTATAACATAACAAATCTTAACTTTTTGAGTTCAGGTCCATTTTTTTAACCACTTTTTTCCACACAAATAGAGCTTTCTTTTGGTGGTCTTTGATCACCGCTGGGTTTTTTTTATTTTTGTGATATAAATGAAAAATTATCAAAATTTTTGAAAACATTTTTTTTTTATTTTCTGCTATAAAACATCCAATAAAAAAAAAATAAAGTTTCTTCATAAAGTTTGGCCAAAATGTATTCTGCTACATGTCTTTGATGAAAAGAAAAACCCGATAGGTGTATATTGATTGGTTTGAGTGAAAGTTATAGCGCCTATAAATTATGGTAAATATATTGGAATTTTAATTTTTTTTATACTACTAATGGTGATGGTCAGTGACTGATAATGGGACTGTGATAGTACGGTGGTCAATCTGACACTTACTGACTCTGGGGGAAACTGACTAACTGCCGCTGACATGACCAGCGACATCAATACAGTGATCAGTGATAATAATATGCACTGTCACTGTACTAATGACACTGGCTTGGAATGGGTTAACATCTAGGCCAATCAAAGGGTTATATGTGTGCCTAACTATGTGTAAAGTGTGCTGCTTTTACTAAGAGCTTTGCAGGGTTGAGAAACACAGAGATTGTTCTCTGTGTACAGAGCTCTGTGTTGAATGTCAACACAGAACTCTGAGTTGTGATTGTACACAGCTGATCAGCAGGTTCCGACCATGAATCATTGGACTTGCAGACAGGTACAGGTACGTCAATTTGCCTACAGCGGCTGCCCATCCACAGTACATTGCAGGTGGACGGTCGCTAAGTGCTTAAATCAGATTTTAGTTTACAGTTTTTATCCATCACATTTTAAACACTTAACAGGAGAAGAGAAAAACTGGTTGACATCAGTATACATACAAAGGTCATGCTTTGTATAGCATTATTGGTGAGAATATCATTGCAGTTTGCATACAGAGAGCAAACATCCCATCACTTTGCAGGGTGGCAATATCATCTCAACCTGCATACACAATTAGGAATATGTAGAAGGGGGTAGACTTTATATATTTGCCACCTTCCAAAACTCCAGAAAGGAGAAGAAGAGAATCAGATCATGAGAAATAACAGTCCCTAAATCTGCCAGCCTCCATGTCAGGACACCTTGACAAACTCAGCCCATGTTTTTTTATGTAATTTTAAAAGTGATATGCGTTGATTTAGCTCAGCTGACCAGTCTCCAACGGTAAGGGGCTTAGGAGACAGCCATCACAAAACAACCATTGTGAGTAGGATGACAAGGGGGCTAACAACTGCATTGGAAGTTTTCATATCCTCAGGTGCACTTTAAGAACTCAAAGATATACTGTATACTAATTTTCTTCCCTATTTACAATTTCCTTTACCCAATCAGTAATCAACAATGTTTGATATGTCCTGAGACTAGATACCAATTCTTGCATATAATATTTCTGTAAAAGGGTTAATACAGACCTGTATTGTAGGGCCAATGGTAGAGCATTGCTCTAAAGAGCTAGATAACTTATCTCATATCCATTGAGTGCCAGGCGTTTTCCTATGTTATTTTGCCGCTGAATCCATAATTTTAATGATCTGTTAAATACCTCTATGAGATTTGTTGCTGAATAAAAAATATTGGCAGATCATTACCTCAATTGCTTTTTGGTAAAATTTGATTTAATTTTGTGATCTGTGTTGCTTCTGAGGCCCAGGAAAAGTTAAGTAATGTGTAGCATGTCATGTAAAGAAAGTTGGATTGGATATTAATAAAGAACATCTGGAACAGATACAGTAGAACATAATTTCAAAAATATTGTATCATCCAGACCAGGTTATTGACCCTAAGTGCATACTATTTAGTAATCTCTAAAAGTAGTTTGACCTCCTAAAAATGTTGGCTTCTTGGTCGTCTCTAGCATTTTAAGAAATAGAAGCCAGCAAGGGCAGCCTGTGTATTTATCTCAGCACAGGTTTTCTTCAATGCTTTCATGCTTTCCATTGGACAGTTTGATTTTACATTTTTGAATATTATAAATGACTGAATCACAAACTTTATCACTAATCTATTAGTTAGGCGTTCCAGTGCCAGCCAGAAAGTATAAAGCAGATCTGTTCATCCATCAGTGTGCAATCCCCACGTCTACACTGAGTTATGGGTATGACCTCAGGTAATATTATCTATGGAAAACACAATGTTCTCTTCCTCACAGTGAACCATTTGTTTATACCATGGTTTCTTCTTCGTTTTTTTTTAACCACACTTAAATTATTTATTTATTTATTTTCAGTCCTCATGGAAAAAAAAATGAAAGCGTAAAACAAACCTACACATTGTTTGATGTCCTCAACGTGTCCTTAAAGGACCTTA